TCCCAGGTTACTAAGAGTCCGGGGGACATGTGTATGTGGGCGAAGCACCAGCCAGAGCGCCCCAGGTTACTAAGAGCCGGGGGGGACATGTGTATGTGGGCGAAGCACCAGCCAGAGCGCCCCAGGTTACTAAGAGCCGGGGGGGACATGTGTATGTGGGCGAAGCACCAGCCAGAGCGCCCCAGGTTACTAAGAGCCGGGGGGGACATGTGTATGTGGGCGAAGCACCAGCCAGAGCGCCCCAGGTTACTAAGAGCCGGGGGGGACATGTGTATGTGGGCGAAGCACCAGCCAGAGCGCCCCAGGTTACTAAGAGCCGGGGGGGACATGTGTATGTGGGCGAAGCACCAGCCAGAGCGCCCCAGGTTACTAAGAGCCGGGGGGGACATGTGTATGTGGGCGAAGCACCAGCCAGAGCGCCCCAGGTTACTAAGAGCCGGGGGGGACATGTGTATGTGGGCGAAGCACCAGCCAGAGCGCCCCAGGTTACTAAGAGCCGGGGGGGACATGTGTATGTGGGCGAAGCACCAGCCAGAGCGCCCCAGGTTACTAAGAGCCGGGGGGGACATGTGTATGTGGGCGAAGCACCAGCCAGAGCGCCCCAGGTTACTAAGAGCCGGGGGGGACATGTGTATGTGGGCGAAGCACCAGCCAGAGCGCCCCAGGTTACTAAGAGCCGGGGGGGACATGTGTATGTGGGCGAAGCACCAGCCAGAGCGCCCCAGGTTACTAAGAGCCGGGGGGGACATGTGTATGTGGGCGAAGCACCAGCCAGAGCGCCCCAGGTTACTAAGAGCCGGGGGGGACATGTGTATGTGGGCGAAGCACCAGCCAGAGCGCCCCAGGTTACTAAGAGCCGGGGGGGACATGTGTATGTGGGCGAAGCACCAGCCAGAGCGCCCCAGGTTACTAAGAGCCGGGGGGGACATGTGTATGTGGGCGAAGCACCAGCCAGAGCGCCCCAGGTTACTAAGAGCCGGGGGGGACATGTGTATGTGGGCGAAGCACCAGCCAGAGCGCCCCAGGTTACTAAGAGCCGGGGGGGACATGTGTATGTGGGCGAAGCACCAGCCAGAGCGCCCCAGGTTACTAAGAGCCGGGGGGGACATGTGTATGTGGGCGAAGCACCAGCCAGAGCGCCCCAGGTTACTAAGAGCCGGGGGGGACATGTGTATGTGGGCGAAGCACCAGCCAGAGCGTCCCAGGTTACTAAGAGCCGGGGTGGGGGGTTGGACATGTGGGTGAATGGGTGAAGCACCAGCCAGAGTGTCCCAGGTTACTAAGAGCCGGTGGGGGGGACGGGGGACATGTGTATGTGGGCGGAGCACCAGCCAGAGCGTCCCAGGTTACTAAGAGCCGGGGTGGGGGGTTGGACATGTGTATGGACCTTAGACTACTCCCCGCCCAGCTCTTAGCAAACTCGCCCAAATACTCGGCATCGGCACCTATACTCTAGTATGGGTGTATCCCTAAACTGAACGTTTGCTTCCTCCATCACCTCATCCCAACACTGCTATTGCCTTCTGTATCACTTGTCTCTTCCCTTTTAGATTGTAAGCTCTTGGGAGCGGGACCCTCCTGAAGCTGGTCATACACATTAGGATTTTTCTCGTACGGCTCTGCGAGCTGAACAAGAGAAACCTTTTGATTCCCCCGTCCACACTGAACATCATGCATGGTGAATCTCTTGCTGTGCCTATAGTAAGGATGCACCAATACCGTTTTTTTGGTATTGAATATGAGTACCGGTACTTCCGGGAGCACCTGGCCAATCAGGTAGCCGGTCGGCGGGTCATTACCTGCCGCCCGGCTTCCCGATTGGCCGGGAAGCCAGCACCATGTTGTTTGGCCCGATTTATCAGCATTTAGCCGGCTAAACAGCATTGAGCCGGCTTCCCAGCCAATCAGGAAGCCGGGCTCCACTGTCAGAATACCCAAACAGTGACTGAAGCTGATTGGCTCAAGTCACTGTACAGGCAACACAGGGTCACCCATGGATCGGATTTCAGAAGATTCAGCAGGAAACGGCCTAAATGTGATCCATGTACGGCCTGTGTTGTAACTGTACTGTCTCTCTTTATACTGTAGTCCATGGGTGGGCAAGCTCTGGCCCTACAGCTGTGATGGAACTACAAATCCCATGAGGCATTGCAACATTCTGACAGCCACAGACATGACTCCCAGAGACAGAAGCATGATGGGATTTGTAGTGTCTCCACAGCTGGATGGCCGGAGTTTGCCCACCCCTGCTGTAAACTGTTGGCGCTACATAAATCCTGTATTACAATCATCAGGTTTTATTGGTGTGCAGCGCATGCCTTCCTGTCCCGGTGACCCCCTTCCCCTAAGGTCACCAAGACACAGCACAAGGGAAAATTCATGAAGTGTAGTCACAAACAGCGATAAAACCTGACAGAGGTTGTAATTTCGCCTCACTAAAGAAGAATTTGAGCTGAATGACAATGTGGTGATGGCAGACCACAGCTAGGATACAAACGTAATGTACCTTTGGAAACTCTCTCCCCACCAAATATACTGAGTGTTGATGTATATGTGCAATAATATACAATTTTAGCAAATGTCAGCTGGAGCTGATAAGAACCGCCTACTACAGCTAAATAAATCATTAATAATGGGAACATACTGAGAATTCGGGCGGAGCTCAATCTCCCCTCCTCGCTCAGACTACATCGCCCGGCATGCCCCGCGGAGTCCAACTTCCGGGGTGTAGAGCGTTTGGGGCATGCGCAGTCCGGGCGGAGCTCAGCCACGCCTCCTATTCCGGTGATGTGTCGAAAGTGCGAACTTATCGAGTTGTGGGACCGCATGACTTCCGGTTTCCTCAGAACTACGAGGTTTGCACACAAAACATGTTGTGCACGAGCGCCATCCACGGCATTGCCCTATACACTTAGACCGCAGCAATAAAGTAATAAAATGATGTAGGATGACAGTAAGCCAGCACGTTCTTTATCTCCGGTGCCCCACTCAATATGGCCGCCGCTTGAGTGGGGCACCTGAGATAAAGAACGCGCTGGCTTACTGTCATCCTACATCATTTTATTACTTTATTGCTGTGGTCTATGTCTATAGGGCAATGCCGTGGATGGCGCTCGTGCACAACATGTTTTGTGTAAAAACCTCGTAGTTGTGAGGAAACCGGAAGTAATGTGGTCCCACAACTCGATAAGTTCGTAGTTTTGATCGATCACCGGCCCCCCTCGAAGAGTGCCTCCCCCCGGCATGCCCCGCGCGTCTAGAGGACTCCAACTCCCGGCGTGCATTGCGCGCTCTGGGGCATGCGCAGTGCGGGCGGGGCCCGGCTGTTGCGCTAGAAGCAGGAGGTTAGTGCAGGTGAGCCTGCTTGTTGATGTGATCGGGTTTCCGCCACCTGTTGTCGTCGGTCCGGGAGGGCGATTGCCGGAGGCCGGTGATTTCTGAGGGCGGCCCTCAGGGCTTAGAAGATTTGTCCCTCTGGTGCTCAGGTCTGCCCAGCAAGCACAATGTCAGCTCAGTTTGTCTGCTTTACAGACTTCAGCGTTAGGGGGTTATTTATAAAGCAGCGAATCTGACATTCAGCAAACATTTTCTGCGGGTGAATCTTCCAGGTCCAAGTGTTTTAAAAGACAGTGATTGATTCTCCACCAGAGAATGTTTGGTGAAAGTCACATTCACTGCTTTATTAATAGACCCCCTCAGTGCCCACTATTGATTGCCTGGGTATTGGAGATCCCTATGTGAAGTATTGGAGTAATAATATAATTTCATATACAATGTTGTGTGACGTCCTCAGCCAATCAGGAGACAAGTGTCCCCGGAAATTGTTTGTAAACAATGTGTGGTTGTGGTTTCCTTTATATGTCATTGTGTAGCTTGTATGTCTAGTGTGGTGTCTGTGTTTTATTTTGGTGTATTGTGTGTAATTGTATTGCTGTTTTTGTGGCTATTTATGTGCTTTGTTCTTCTGCTGCTGAATGTGTTCTATCATTACTGAATTCTGTTTTTGTGGTTATTAATTTGCCATGGGGGCGAGGGTGACATTATCTTCCGAGTCAGTAGACACGTGGCGACATCACCGGTGGGGTCAGTAGACACGTGGCGACATCACCGGTGGGGTCAGTAGACACGGGGCGACATCACCGGTGGGGTCAGTAGACACGGGGCGACATCACCGGTGGGGTCAGTAGACACGGGGCGACATCACCGGTGGGGTCACTAGACACGGGGCAACATCACCGATGGGGTCACTACCCAAGAGGCGACATCACCCGGGAGGTCACTAGACACAGGCTGACATCATGCACGGGGTCACTAAGCGTGGGACTGATCTCCCCCGCAAGATCATTAGACACAGGAAGACCTTACCCACGAGGTCACTAGACATGGGACAACCTCGCCCGCAGGGTCACTAGACACGGGTCGATCTCGCCCGTGGGGGTCACTAGATCATGCCTCTGGCTCTGGGAGTCATGCCTGTTTTTGTCAGTCTTGCAATGCCTCATGGGACTTGTAGTTCCACAACAGCTGGAGGGCCGAGGTTGCCTACCCCTGCTCTAATGCTTCCCTTATTCCTTTCCTCTGTCTCCAGGCCCAGGGGTGTGCGAGCTTCCCCCATGATGATATCTTGTGGGCCTCTAGTTCTCCTTTCCCCCTTCAGCTGATAGTCAAGCAACAGATGTGGTACAGAGGTGGAAAATGGCCGACAGCTTAAAAATCTTTCTCCAGGACCTGGTCCGGGTAAGACAACTGTATGTTGAAGATAAGATTTAAAGCTGAACTCCGGGCTCAAAAACCCTCATTGGAATCTATTCCTCAATAGTCACAAAGGGTATAAATCCGCTTCGTGTGCACCAAATGCCTTTGCAAATACACATATTGCCCTGCAAACGTTGCAGTGACATCATCACTGTGCTGTTCATAATCCTGTGCAGAGAGCAGAGCTGTGGGAGGGACACAGCAGGCCCCACCCACTACATGAAACTACAGGAGGGGGCGGAGACAAAACCAGTCACCCTGCACAAGGAGAGAGAGCAGCAGTGAGCGGTCTTTATTACAGGAACGGGGTGGAGACAAGACCAGTCGCCCTGCACAAGGAGAGAGAGCAGCATTGACCGGTCTTTATTATAGGAGGGGGCGGAGACAAGACCAGTCGCCCTGCACAAGGAGAGAGAGCAGCATTGACCGGTCTTTATTATAGGAGGGGGCGGAGACAAGACCAGTCACCCTGCACAAGGAGAGAGAGAGTAGCAGCAGTGAGCGGTCTTTATTACAGGAGGGGGCAGTGACAAAACTAGTCACCCTGCACAAGAAGAGAGAGAAGCATTGACCGGTCTTTATTACAGGAGGGGGTGGAGACAAGACCAGTCACCCTGCACAAGGAGAGAGAGAGAGAGTAGCAGTGCGCGGTCTTTATTACAGGAAGCTCCAAGTCTCACACGGGATTACTGCACAGATCTGGAAGAAATACACAAAGCTCACCCAGATTCAGGAAGAATACACTTGTATGTGGACAATATTTGCTGATCCCGGAGTTCATCTTTATATGTGAATACGTTACTGAGCTGTTAATACATCTGTACAGGATGAGCTAGTTACACGAGTATGGGCAGCTGTAGTCATCCATAATTTTAGGTGAAGTCGGCTGCCACGTTACTGTTAGTTCACTCTCGGCTCTCTGACGTTCTCCCCGAGTTTATTGCCTAGTCACTGTGGAATAATTCACCCTAAAATACCTTCAAACTCCTTTTACATGCTAGTCATGTGATCTCCAATAAGTGGCTCAGGAGCCACATGTGGCCTCTCATCAGCTCAGCTGTGATTCCCCTGCAGCTTCTCAGGTTGGAATGTCCATCATGACCCAAATCCTTTACATTTTGTATAGTTTCCAAAACCATGACACCGGTGAGTGTAAAGTGTTACCCCTGAAAACTGTTATTCCATAAGGCCTTGTTCACACCAAGCGCAGAGCAGTTGCAGACCGGATCAAAACTGCGTCCAATGTATTCCAATGGTATTTTTTGCTGCAGTTCACACCGCAGCGTTCAGTTCTAGAGCAGGTCCAGAGCAGGTGAAAAAACTGCAGCAAGCCCTATTTTACCTGCTCTGGATCTGCAAACGCATCAAAAACGCATGCAAATGCCTGGAACGCACTGAAAGGCCTTTTTAAACTTTAAAAAAAAAAACACTTTTTTTTTTTAGCCAAAAACGCATCAAAAACGCATCTAAAAGACTAGCGTGCGTGTGCAGAAACCTGACCGGATCTGCTCTGCATTTGGTGTGAACAAGGCCTTAACGTGTGTGCGACTCAGTGTAGGTGTGTGTAGCAGTTGTGGACTGTTTGCATAGAGATAACTGCCAGTCCCTCTAAAGGGGCTTTTATCCACCTTCGTGCCGCAGCTATTTAAAAGATGTTAAAATCTGAATTTTTGTGGAGAGAAAATTATTTGAAACCCCCCAAACAATTAAATATCTTCTGAAAGCAGAGGCTTAGGTAAGATAACCAAGCAAAAAAAAAAAAGGTATCTGAATTTTTGTCGCACAATATTTGCACATTTCTATCAAATTTATGGTTTAAAAAACCACTAAAATGAATTTCAGCGCACACAAACGCAATATAATACCGCATTTTTTAGTAAAAAATAAAAGATTGGGGTTACTGGGAATAGATACCAAAACATGACAAACGTTAAAATTGTGGGCTCCCGTGCAATGGTGAACACTATGGTACTCAAAATTGCCCATCGGTGACATTTTAAAGCCTTTTCCAGGGCCATTGTTCGCTGGTACTTTAAGAATTATTGCTCTCACTTTGTGATACCCCATGCGTTGTGAAATCGCCATTTATGTACATGCGCGTATCTTATGCGCGTGCATTTTTTCACATGGAGAGGGTGGCGGGGGTTGGTTTTAAGTTAGTTACAATTCGTATTTATTTATTTTTATTTTTTTACTTTTTAACACACTTTTATTTATTTTATTTGTTCTACTTTTATTGCTACCACAAAGGGGCTAACAAGCCTCTATGCTAGGGGTAGTCAAACTCCGGCACTCCAGCTGCGGTGAAATTACAAATCCAAAGATTCATCTCTCTCCCGGAGTCATGTCTGTGAGAATCTTGCAATGCCTCATGGGATTTGTAGTTCTACCCCAGCTGGAGGGCCAGAGTTTGGCTACACCTGCTCTATGTGATAGCATTTGGAGGTGACAGGTTCTCTTTATGGGCCACATTAGGGGTCTACAAAAGAAAAAGGGGTCCCACCCTAGTGCAGATGATTTTTTATTTTTAAAAAGAGACAAGATTGGAGTGCAAGGGTACTCACAAAGGTCCCTCTTTTAGCTGAGCACATCCCACTCGCGCACGCTTCTTTTTTTATTGGCTTATTCCCTGACTTAATGGGATGACGAGGAGGTTGAGGGCAAGTTCTGAAGAAGGGGGCGTGACCCCGGAAACGCGTCAACGACGCCACAATCCAGTGACACACAGGCTGATTGCAGTCCTGAAACCGATGTATCTTCGAAACTACCTATACATGCTGTCTTTTGACCTACCATTGTGAGTACCCTTGCACTCCAATCTTGTGTCTTTTTAAAAATAAAAAATCATCTGCACTAGGGTGGGCGCCCTTCTTTTTCTTTTGTTTTCCAGTCTTACAGTTCCCCGACTGAAGTGGGGCAGCACCCCTAGCTATCCTGCATACACACTCCTCAGTATCAGGATCCGTTCACAGCGCTTTGGCTACAATTGACATTAGGGGTCTATTAGACCCCTGATGTCTCTCCTGCCCTCTAAATAACATTCCCTGTGCTTGATCCTTGTGTAAGCGGAACTTCAGCCGGCTTCTGACAGCTCTAAAACAGGAAGCGCGGAGAGCACAGCTCTTCCTGATTCATTCATCACAGGCAGATTGGGGGAAAAGACGTTTCCCAGTACTCCCCTGCTCTCCACCCTGAAACTGTTTACTGTGGGCATGGGAACCCAAAAAAAAACCCCCGTGGGGGTTGCAGGTTGGGCACCACATTTGCAGGCTGTAGTACTGAACAAACATCACCCCCTGAATAGAACAATACCAAGATCGTGACTGCAGTAGGTCTTCGATTTGCTCTCTTGTGTCTAGGATCTGGGAACCCTTTTTCCATGTGCAGGGGAATTATTCCCAAACACACCCAATGTCGGCTTTATCCTGCCCCTCTCATGCAGAACGCCTGATCTATGAAAGTGTCAGTGCTGAGATGTTTTTCCCAGCTGCCAATCAGATTCAGACCTGCTTTGGAAGCTTGAATGTGATTGGTGATACAGCCAACAGAGTGCGGGGTCCTTACACAACACAAGGGGAAGCAGGCACACCCGTCCCGCCATGTGAGGAGCTCTGTGGAATTTGGCTGCAGTGCATTACAGAGAGATTATGGTAAATGGAGCGGAGCTTCTAACTTCACCACCGTTCTAACATTTGATCAATGATCCATTTAACGTGCAAATGAACTTTTTAAGGATTTTTTTTATTTTGTGTTCTTATATTCAGGCTTTCCATCCCTCGCATCTTTCATTTAAGGAGCCGTGCCTAATGGCCGTGGACATGAATAATAAAAGATGTTTTATGTTGTGCAGGGTATTAAAGATTCCATTTGGGGAATTTGCACAATCTCGAAGCTCGATGCCCGGATCCAGCAGAGAAGAGAGGAGCAGAGGAAGAGGCGGGCGAGCAGCGCCCTGGCCCAGCGGAGAGCTCAGAGCGAAGAGAAGAAGCCGGAGAAGTGAGTAGCTCTGATCCATGGTCACTGTCTCTCCCAAGATAAATCATTCTCCTCAGGGTGACTTCCTAGAATCTCTGTCAGTACATGCTGTACTCATACTGTATATCAACTTCTGTATTGCAGCTTTCCAAAACTAGGCTTTCTTTTTTTTCTTTAATGTGTATAACATAAAGTGGAACTCCAGGGATGGCCTTTGATGGATTTTTACATTGGTCAGCTTGACTTGCTGTAAGTATTTAAGGAGAACTATGGGGTTAAGGCTTTTCACAAACTAGCGTCCTCTCGTCACAATAGGCTCAGTATACCGCGAGCTACAGCGGTATACTGAGACGCCGGAGCGGATCCCGACATCGATGTCGAGATCCGCCCAGCTGCGTGAGTGACAGCTGGCTCTGCCTATCTAGAGGCAGAGCCAGCTGTA